TTCAAAGCGTTTTAATGGTTGTCAATGGTGGATGGGTTACAGATTTTCGCTGGTTTTAGAAGAGGAAATCGTGGGTGATTGAAGAAGAAATCGTGGGGTGTGGTTTGATACGTGAGTGAGATGGTTGTAAAATATCTGGAAGAATATTTAATTCCCTAATATCATCGCCCCTAAATAAGGAAGCCTACAGCTACAATGATTCCTTATTTAATGAATTGTCTATATTTTGTGGAAATACTATTAGCATGATGGGTAATATGCAAACTATGAACATATTTGGTAATATAGTTTCCTATATGGTATAAGAACAAAAATTTCCCAAAAGTAAATAGTTTAGGCTTGGGTATTAAAGGATAAATAGTTTGGGCTTAATGGGTATAAAGTGAGATTTTACCCGGATTAATTAGCTCTCTAGAACGGAGTAAGATCCAATCAAAATATACACCTGCTTATTTGTTCCTTTTTGAATATATAAAAATACAGTAAATTATTATAGTAGAAATTATAACCAACTAAAAAAATCATAGCCAGTTAAAATAATGACAGGTCTTTATCAAATAAGCCATTTGAATTGAGATATTTCAGATATTATTTCAGTTTGGGACCACGAATTCAGAGAGGGAGAGAGAAACTTCGAATCTGCGTAAAGTTGGAAGTATTATAGAAAATAGGTCCGTAGCCGACGGAAAGTGCAATCCCTTTACCAAAGTATTTTTTCTTTTTCCCCTGATTTTGCCCATTACTTTTTCATCTTAATAATCAAGTCATTATTTTATTGTCATTATTGCTATAAAGCTTCCATTAGTTACCTCAATTGCCATCTACCCTGCAATTTTACAATGGACACACTTATCCAGATGGGATCTAGAATTATACTAGGTCTTTATATATGAATAGTAGTATATATTAATCAAATATGTGTCCATTAAATAAATAAACTTTACAATCATTTGAAACTTTATCGATACTACTTTTTAAATAATTTTTAACAACTTTCTTGATTGACACATTTTTTTGTTTGTTTAAACTATGCATTGCCAAAAAGTTTTGCGAAAATTGTTTTGCAAAACTAAATTCAAGGTCAAATTGGGATTATAAATTATTATGGCAACATTCTTTATTAAAAGTGAGGTGCCTGATCGCTAATTCAGATTACTTTAGGGGTACTTTTCGTAATCCTTTTAAAAAGAGTAAAGATTATGTTATTGAAAAGAAAGTGTTTGAACAGCAGAGAACCGAAAAAGCAATAACTATCCACTATATATATATCTGATCAACCAAATCATTTTCGTTCTCTTTTTTCCTCATGCTTTTCAGGTGAGAGATCTAGCGACCGGAAAAGAAAATGTCGACTGTTACTATAGAGCCTCTCGTCGGTAATAGTCTCCGGCGAAGCCCAAAACTTTATTTAAATCCAAAAATAACCCCTCATTTTTCTCTAAATTACTCTCGGAAGCCGCTCTCCGCTAACGTAACTTTGAGATTCCGGCGTCGCCGGTCGACGTTCGCTCTCCGAGCTAGCTCCACTGACGCCGCTGTCATTGAGACATCGGAGAAGTCCGACGTCGTTTTAACAGAGACTTTTTTGGTGAAACGACCGGAAAGGGTAAAATACCTGTATTAGATATATATTTTCGTGTGTATATCTATTATTAAGTTAGAGATTCGCCGATTTGTTTATCGCGTGCTCTACTTTTTGCTTGGCTCTAGTTTTTGTGCTTGTAAATTCATTGGATCAATGGAAATGAGACGTTACTTTTGTAGGAATTAAGGAGTGTTTGGAGCTAACTGAATTGAGTTTTCGCGGTTTGCCGCCAATTCTTTTTTCCTCTATGTTAAGTTAACAATTAAAAAAAAAACTCTTTGTTAAGTTAACGGAGTAGTTCAACTTATTCAGAACATAATTTTTTGAATTATTATCAAGTGTAAAAATTGTATAACACTCTGCATAACTGGGCGGTGTATTCTTCCGTCATTGCTTCCTGAATTTTATCCTATCTTTGGACAAGTGGAGAAGCAACTATTCACATTTATGTTCGCTCAAGAGGAAGAAAAAGAGGGAGAATATGAAGAAGATAAATTATCAAGCTTACGAAAATGAGAGAGAATAGTTGGATCTTTGAAATTTTGGCCTTCATACTTAGATTTTCAGTTTATGTGACCCTATTTACTTCTTGGTTTGTTCTAGAATGACCTCTTTTAAAATTGGAAGCAATTTAACTTAAACTTCCAGTTTTTATAACTACATAAATATTGTGGTATGTTTAAAACCACAAGTTCCATAGGTACTCATTTCTTTCTTAAATCCCATGACTAGTCAAATAGGTCAACATAAATTGAAACCACAGGGAGTAATATATTTGACTCTCCTCGTTTTTCTTTGTTAAATATTTGTGCTTTATGTAAGTGTCATTTGTTTTTCCCAATACTGAAGTAGAGAAAGATTAAGAGCTGCTGAGGTGTTGATTGGCTTATTGCAGGCTGAAGGAAAGATAGCAATCAGATTAGATAAGGGGAAAGACGAAGAGAATTGGCACCTCTCTGTGGGATGTAGCGTGCCAGGGAAATGGATTCTTCATTGGGGGGTCAATTATGCTGGTGATGCTGGCAGGTTAGTCTGGTTTGATAATGGAAGTACTGCTTTTCTTTTGTGCTTTGGAGGAAGAAACAACTGAGGTGGAATTTGTTTACAATATCTTTTATAGGAAGGATTTAAGTTTAATGTCACGTTTTTGTCTTTAGCTGTGGCGGAGCCAGAATTTCATATAAGGGGATTAAAAAATGTCTCGTGGGAATTAAACCTGTGATCTAAACCAATTTTTGAATCACTTTGCCACTTTGCTAGAATTTTTCCTCCTATCAAGGAGATTCAATTGAACCCCATTTCTCCAAGCTAGCTCTGCCAATGGTCTTTCAGATGGGGATGATCTAGACTTTTAGTTCTGATTTGGAGATTTATACCTCATGAACTTGTGCTTCAATAGTCGTTGAATACCTAAAGACGCTGGACATGTTGTTTCTAAATTTTGCATTTTTTATCCAGCAGTGAATGGGATCAACCTCCTCCAGAGATGCGGCCCTCAGGTTCGATCACAATAAAGGTCTCTACTACTCTTTCTCTTGCTAGTTTGCCTCGTTCTTGTTCTGTTAATATTTCTTCTCTGAATGTGGATGTAATCACTTTAGTATTCAATTTCTGTGAAGGTGTCCGTCTATCTTTTTCCTACATTTCCTTTCTCATATTTTTTCTTTAAATGTGAATTTCATTGCCATTACAGGATTACGCAATTGAAACTCCTTTGAAAGGGTCATCAACAATTTTGGAAGGAGAAAAGTTTCAGGAAGTGAAGATTGACATAAGTTCTAAGTGGTCTATTGCAGCCATAAATTTTGTGTTGAAGGTGGACTTCTACTCTTAGATGGTTCGGCTTTCTTCTTTTAAGTATTATGCTGCTTACGACACATTTAACAAAAACCATCTTCATGTATACTACGCCTCTGATAGCTTTGGTCGTTCACTTTTTTGGTTGTGATGGTGCTTTTTTGCCGGTTTATTTTGATGATGCAGGATGAGGAAACTGGAGTTTGGTATCAGCACAGAGGGCGGGACTTCAAGATTCCTCTTATTGACTACCTTGAAGATGATGCTAATATTGTTGGAGTTAAAAAGGGATCGGGCATATGGCCAGGTTGTTAGGATACTTTTTGTCGGGAAATGTATACATATGTTCATTCTTCTTTTGCCTACTCTTACATGCAATCTGTATCACCTCTCTTCATGTTATCCTGGCTGACTTCCTCCGTAGGAAAAACTACTCAAATATGTCAAAACCTATCTTTTCTAACAATGAAAATTATTTACCTAGGCTAAACAAGGATTGTATCTGTTTATGATATATGATGCATTACTGTTATAAATTTCTATTTTTCCTCAATTTAGTATTACAATAGGTTTTTTTGATAAGTTCATGGTATAAAATTAATTATCAATCAATTATTGTGCTTAGCTGCAATAAGCAATTATTGTGCTTAGCTGAAATATCAGAAAGGACGGAAAGATCCTTTATATCTATGTCTTGTTTGAGTGATTGTGTCTTTCCAAATTTAAGTTGTAAAAGTTCGGTAGCTCTTTATGTATTGCAGGACCGCTAGGGCAGCTGTCGAACATCCTCCTTAAGCCAGAAGCTGCTCCCTCAAAAGGGGAAGCAAGCAGCAATGATGGGTCTAGTTTGAAAAACAAGCGCCTTGAAGGGTTCTATGAAGAGCAGACCATAGTAAAAGAAACTTTTGTTGACAACACTGTTAGTGTCATTGTTAAGCACTGTCCAGACACTGCCAAGAATATTTTGTATATAGATACCGACTTACCGGGAAATGTAGTTCTTCACTGGGGAGTCTGCAAAGATGATGCTAAAACATGGGAACTTCCTACAACGCCATATCCAGCGGAAACAGTAGTGTTCAAGAATAAGGCACTGAGGACTTTGCTGCAGGTACTTTTTTTTGGATTAATGAACTTTTCGTGTCTACCTTAGTTGTGTGGTTAAATTGAAACTAGCAATAGTACAAGCCTCTAATGTTATCTCAAAATGCTGTTCTTTTGACCTCTAATGTTATCCAATCAAAATGCTGTTTAATCTGTTTCTTACGAACATGTCATTGGATTCTACAACCAGCCTTCCCTGACCTGGTATTGTAGATTAGTGACCATGGTAATCTCCAATCTTGGATTTTTCAAAGTCCTTTAAGTCTGGAATCTTCATTTATACTCCCCTCCATCCAAGTCAGTAGTCTTTAGTTTGGCTCGGTGTGATTATTTTAGAAAAGAGTTGAACATGTGTATTGTTAAGTATTTGGTAGGGGAACATATGGGCCTAATGTGATGACTTCTGTAGTTCCAGAGTAAACTTGTGTTTTAAAGTAAAAAACTTGGTCCCACATAGCGTTAACTGTATTAAAGCATTTTTAGAGGAAAAGTGGACACAATTTGGAACAGTCGAAAAAAGGGGAGTGGGATACAGGGAGTACTAATTTTTTTTGGATCTACCACTTTTAATATTTGAGAAGCCTTGGAAAATAGAAATCGTTGGCCTCTCTCTACACGTTCTGCTTGATAGTGGCTCAATAGTTCTGGACATGTGCAATGTGTAAGGTTGTTCATTTGTAGTAACTAGCATGTGCACATCCAGATAACTACCTTTCTCTTCTTCTTTAATGATTGAAAGGATGTTATAACCTTTTCTATTTAAGATTTTAATATGCTGGTCCAATTTTACCTTGGTTGTGTGGTTCAATTGAGTCTAGCAAGGTTACGAGCATTTTAATATTAATATTTTAGCCAATGAAAGTGCCGTGTGAATCGTTTCAAAGGAGTTGGTCTAGGCTATTGATGTAGTTTTGTAAGCACTATCATAATGCTGGTATATTAAAAAAGTAATTATGAGAACAAAATATGAAATTGCCATGTGAATCTGTTCCTGACCTGTAAGTCATTGGATTTCTAACATGCTATTTGGATTAATGGCTAGCATAACATCCAATCAAAGATTTGGCGAAGTTCTTAATGCCTGGAATCTTACTTTATACTTCCTTCATCCGAAATTAGTCGTCTTAGTTTGACTCAGTGATTCAACCCTAAGTTGCTCGGACACGGGTGCCGGTGTCCGACACGGATGCGGATCTAGAGGTTGAATCCTTCAAGATGTAAATTCTAAGATTCGGGGATATGGATCCTAGTACGGATACGGGTGCGGGGATCCGGCTAAATATAATTTAAAAAAATATAAAAATATCTCTAAATTATGAGAAATTTTGTGGAATACTTACGTATAACTTGTAAAGTGTGGATTTCTTTTTTATTCTCAAGTTGTAGATAAGTAAAGAATTGATTTCCTAGATAAGGTATGCTATTTGTTCTGATTCCGGGAATCAAATTATATTCCATCTCGAATTTTTTCATCCATCATGGTCAAAGAAACCAAAATTGTATGACCAGATCCGGTACGGTTTCCATACCCACACTCTTACTAGTGTCGTGTCGACACGGGTGCGGCACCTAGACTGTCGTGTTGGAGCAACTTAGATTCAACCTGTTAATTAAAGGAATTATTTAGTATTTGGTGGGGAATATGTTGGCGCACTATGTTGACTTTTGTGGTCTTAGAGTTAGTATAGAGTTGACATTGTTTTGTAAATTGTAAAATAGGTTCCTACATGACCTTTAGAGCATGTAAACTGTACAAGAACATCTCTCTTAAAAGGAAGTTGGCACAATTTTGGGACAGTCTTAAAAGATAAGTTTATTTATTCTTCTTCCCCTTTCCAGTTTGGTCACTTTTCTATTAATTTGACCTGCTATATACTGCTTAGCATTTTAGTTGCCAGGAGACATGGCATCTTTGCCTTCGCTACACTACTTAGTTGCCCAATAGTTCCGGACATGAAATGGGGCTTGCTGGGACAAAGGTAGGTTGCTTAAAATGTTCAAGTTTGTACAAGGATGTATACATCAAAGCAACTAACCTTTCTCTTCTTCTTTAATGATTGAAGGGACATCTGACCTTTTTCGTCCAAGATTTTAATCTGTTTGCTCATTTTTATTAGAGGGAAAATTCAATTATTTGGTTAATTAGAACAGGGTTTTTTTAGGGGAGCAGAAGAATCGGCTAGACTGTCATAAGTTGAATGTCTAATCTTTAAATAGAGACGATGTCTGATGTTTGTGTACTGTGATTAAAGAAGAAACTATAAGGAAGTTAGCGGTTTGCAAACGTGAACAATATGCTGAACTACTGATTTTTGAGGACTTCCAAACATGGCTTCATGGAAAGATTAGGCTAACCAGGGCAAGTAAGCTCACTTCTGTCGTCAAGCACTTATAAGTTGCAATCTTTTCCCCTTCAACAACTGCAGTATTTTAGATTCGACCTGAATCTCCAACATCATGGAAGGGTCCTATATGGTGTGTCTAGCATTCTTCACAAATACTAGTTTATCTCTCGGTACGGATTTATGCAGAGTGCTACTGTTACTTAGGATCGATCCATATTCAGAAACAAAATTGCCATGCAATAGTTGTGGCTCTCTTTTTCTCTATTATCATCTGGTTCACTTTTCTTTGAAAAATGTCTCACTGACCAGAAAGAACTAGTAACCTTTTGTTTCTAAGACCAGCTAGCCTTTGCTTATTGATGATATATGCCCTCGTGACAGAGAAAAGAGGGAGGCGATGGTTCTTCTGGCCTGTTTACTTTGGATGGAGGACTTTCCGGATTTGTTTTTGTGGTGAAGCTGGATGAAAATACATGGTTGAATTGCAAGGGAAACGACTTTTATATACCTTTATCAAGTGGCAAATATCAGTCTAGCACAATACATTCGGAGGAGAGAAAACAAGATGAAGAGTCAAATTCTTCAGAGATACTCAACCGTGCTCCTGAGGAGAAACAAGCAGGCTCTATGTTTACTGATGAAATAATAAAGGAGATAAGAAATTTGGTGACTGGCATTTCCTCTGAAAAGAGTCGGAAGACAAAAAGCAAGGAAACACAAGAAAACATTCTTCAAGAAATTGAGAAGCTTGCCGCGGAGGCTTATAGTATATTCAGAAGTTCAACCCCAACAGTCCCAACAATTTCAGAAAATGTTGTTTCTGAAGCTGAGGTTTCACAACCTGATGTCAAAGTATCTTCAGGGACTGGTTCAGGATTTGAAATTTTGTGCCAAGGGTTTAATTGGGAATCTCATAAATCTGGAAGATGGTACAGGGAGCTGCATGAAAAAGCTGCAGAGTTATCTTCACTTGGATTCAGTGTCATCTGGTTACCTCCACCAACTGACTCGGTGTCACCGGAAGGCTACATGCCTAGGGATTTATATAACTTAAATTCCAGGTATTATAATAAAAATTCTCTTCACTTCCATTTTGGTCAAATATTAAAGCATAAGTCATGTATATCCCTTCTGGGTTTATGAGATGAAGTTCTAAGTATCTCATACAAGTTCTACTATTTTTTTTCCATTATAATTTAAAGTAGGAGATGCCCAAATATTAGGAATGGCAGTCTCATGTTATGGTTTTTATGGATGAGAATTCAATTCTCTTGGCTATTAGCCTCTTTATTTGAAGTTAAACTAGGGATATGCCAACAATTAAGAAGGGGTACATTGCTCTTACTACGTCATTCCTCTTTCCAGCAGAAGATCGGACATATCTCTCATTTTCTACTCGTTTGTTATGATTAAACATGCAAAATGTACATCTGTTCTGTTATTTTGATTTACTGGTTCTGCTTTCTGTCTTTCTCTGGTTCGATAGGCTATTCCTTAGTACAGAATTAGCATCTTATTTTTATCCTTTTTTTTTTCGAACAATGATTAGATAGTTCCTATCAGGTCAAAGAGACTTTAATGAAGCATACTTATTGCTCTCTCGGTTTGTTCTTTTTTATCTTGACTTGTTTGGGGTATCTCAATTGTTGTGTTGTTTTTCTGTATCTTTGTCAGATATGGTAGTTTTGATGAATTGAAAGTTACTGTAAAGAAATTCCATGAAGTGGGCATCAAGGTTCTCGGTGATGTTGTCTTAAATCATAGATGTGCAAGTGAACGTAATCAAAATGGTATATGGAATATTTTTGGTGGTCGTTTAAATTGGGATGATCGTGCAGTTGTTGCTGATGATCCACATTTCCAGGTGTGTGCTTTTTCTTTAGATTTTGCCTTGCTGTTGTGCTAGCAAAGAAAACTTTTGCGGTGATGCTTGTCCTTCACCAGAAGACTATAAATAATCACAAATTCAGAGAGGGTGCAAAGTAGCAAACTGAAATGTTTGAGAATGAGCTTGTCCACCACTTAATGAATAGTATACCCATTCCTTATTTTGTTATTTGAAATAAATTGCAATGAAATATTAATTCAGAGAACACGATAAAATATTTGATATGTCAAAACAAGTAAGGTATCTCGAAGTGCTGTTGAAGTTGGAAAAAATGGAAGGTCTAAATGTTTCTATATATGGGTTTTGCTAACGATTGTTCCTAGTCATGATATATATCGGTTTTGCTATAGATGGTGGGTGTGAGGAGGTACACTTCGCTATACTCGGTGGATTTTCATTCGTGCTTTCAAGTTGACTAGGTTACTCTTTAGAATATCTGTTAATCGCCAAAGCAATGTTCTCAACTCCTCTACTATGGTTTAGCCAAGAATAGTTTAGACATTGTGGCTATCAGGACATTATTGCTTCCCTTTCCCTAATGATATACTGATGTGTTTTTACATGATCTGCTGAATCAAATGTCTGAACTACCTTTTATTTCTACAGGGAAGGGGTAACAAAAGTAGTGGAGATAACTTCCATGCTGCTCCTAACATTGATCATTCCCAGGAATTTGTGAGAAAGGATATCAAGGAATGGTTACACTGGCTGAGGTTTAATTCTCATAGCTTTTGACCTTATCAATGTTCTTCTTTCCCCTCCTTTTTTCTGTTTTATTTTCATCTGAACATCTTTGTACTTGTTATGCCTGGGCTTTTAGTGACCTAGTATCTTTAGCAATAATTATACATTGGCAATGTCTAAGTACATTTGATGTCTGTCAATCAGGATTAAAATTTGTTGGTACTAAATTCAAAATACAAAGCACTTAACTAAAAGAAAGAGATTCTGTACCGTCTCTATGTTATGCACATTAGGCAAAGTAGTCAACGTGATATAAATATCTGGTGGTTCAGACAGGAATTTTGGTTTTTGGAAGATTAACGCATTCTGTGGCAAGAATAGGAAAGAGTTGGTAGATGGAAATTGAGTAATGCTTAAAGAGAAGACCTGAAGTATACAGCTATCATTCTTGAAGATATCAGATGTCAATTTTTCTCAAGAATTTCACCACGATCTCAAAGAAAACAATTGGTAATTGAAGGCAGTTAAAATGAAATTGTGGTTGGCCAAAGGACTAGATTACTTACTCCACACTAATGCTTTGATTCAAAATGTGAAAAGTAAATGAGGTGCAACCAATATCCTTTACGACGTTCAGAAACAAATACTTTAATTGATAGTTGAAGAGTCAACAGCTGCTTCCTTTGCTTCTCTATCCATTTTTTTAAACAGTAAAACAGTATCAGTAGCTCTTACTTTTCTTTTCTTTTTTGATAAGGTAAAAGTTTATTATAAAGGTACCAAGATGGTACAAAAAGATACAAAAAACATACAAAACAACATCATCCACCTTCTATCCTATCCCTCCTAGCATGTCCAGGAATTACATATACTGATCCAGATTTCCTAAGGGGCTACATTTACACCAATAATACGGATTATGAAGCATCAGTAGCTCTTACTTTATTCACTTGCATATAGCAGCAGGATTAGCATCTCATCCCACAAGATGTTGTCATTTTATCCCGTCCGCTCCTTTGGTAATAGATATCTATGTCTCTTTTATTGCAACCGCTCATGAAGAAGACTGAATTACCAAGTGGAGTTGCCCAACTGTTAAACTGTGTAAGAAGGTGGTATTTCTCCATCTGTTTCACGGGTATTTCTGCCTCACTGTATGAAAATGCTGTTTTCTTGCATAGGATACAATCTAATAGTCTCCATTATAATTTCTTCCTAAGTTGCTTGTACTCTTCACTTTCAGTGCCACACCCGTGTCGATATGACGTGGGTGTGGGCGTCGGTTTGGGGTCCATGCCGGATCAGGTGAACCGATTTTGGGTACTTTGACCAAAATCGACGGAGAAATTCGGGACAGAGACAATGATTTTTGAAATCAAAACAAAAGCTATGGTGAAATTGAAGAAAATGGAATATCTTGTACATAGAATTTTCTGTTAGTCCTCTTTTATCTCCTTCTCGGATTCTCCTCTTGACCAATATTTTCTCCTTCTCAGATATCTTGTAAGTTTTCCACACAGTGTCTCATAATTTAGACATATTTTCATAACTCTATTTTTAGATATTTGAATTATTTTTAGCTGAATCCTCGCATATGTATCCCTACCTAGATCCGTATCCTCGAATCTTAAAATATAAATCATGAAGGATCCGACCTCTAGATCTGTATATGTTTTGGACATTCGCAGCCGAGCCCGAGCAACTTAGCTTTCTTCCAATGTCTTACTCAAGAATGTTCCAACTTCAAAGGTCATCTTGTAACAAATTTTCGCTGGTTTGCCAGGGAGGAAATTGGTTATGATGGATGGAGGCTTGATTTTGTTCGTGGGTTCTGGGGTGGTTATGTGAAGGATTACTTGGACGCAACTGAGCCTTACTTTGCTGTGGGCGAGTATTGGGATTCACTTAGTTATACTTACGGAGAGATGGATCACAATCAAGATGCGCATCGACAGAGAATTGTTGACTGGATTAATGCTACTAATGGAACTGCAGGAGCATTTGATGTGACAACAAAAGGAATTCTTCATTCTGTAAGTGTCTCAAACTTTGCTCCGGGCACAGTGGATACAAGTACTTGGCCAGCAGTAGTTATTAAAATAAATAAATAAATAAATAAAGAGAAGTGGTTAGAAATCACTTTTTTCTGGTGTTAACAGCATTTTCTTTCAACTTCTATGTAATTAGGCAATTGAGAGATGCGAATACTGGCGATTATCGGATCAGAAGGGAAAACCTCCTGGCGTTGTGGGGTGGTGGCCATCGCGTGCTGTTACCTTTATAGAGAATCATGATACAGGTTCCACACAGGTAAATATGCTTTTAGTTTTCTATTCTTACTGGTGTATTTTGTAGAGGACTAAAGAGGCTCCTCTATTAAACAATTGAAAAAAAAAGATGCTCCTCTTTTGATCCTAAAACAATGATAACAGGGACTTTATGAGGAGGCAGTTAGTTCATCATATCCACTTGCCTGAAGCAATTTTGTGCCTTTCTTGATCATTCAGTCAAGTTAATACATTTTTCCTGCATTTTGTCATTGGATCCCTAGACAAGAGGGGTTGCTCTGATGGTAAGCAACCTCCACTTCCAACCAAGAGGTTGTGAGTTCGAGTCACCCCAAGAGCAAGGTGGGGAGTTCTTGGAGGGAAGGATGTCGAGGGTCTATTTGGAAACAACCTCTCTACCCCAGGGTAGGGGTAAGGTATGCGTGCACACTACCCTCCCCAGACCCCACTAGTGGGATTATACTGGGTTGTTGTTGTTGTTGTTTGTCATTGGATCCCTCAAGTTTGGGAGCTAAATGTACTCTCGAGCCCTGGGAACTGTTACAAATGCTATTTAGAGTTAGTTATGTCATGATGAAATGTAACCCCTGTAGAATCTCTAGGGGCACTAGTGCATAGCTGTGATCACCTATAAGAAGAATATTTCTCCTTGGAATCAGTGAAGAAATTCCAGCCTAGTTGTCAACTTTGATTTCTTTTGGTTTCTTGCTCTCGATGTTCCATTATTCGCTTGTATTACCTCCTTATTCAACAAAAATTCTAAGAAAACCCTTAAATTAAGCTTTAAATGTCTTTAGTAGTTCTTTTTTGCTACCAGAGCACCTCTCTTAGGTTCCATTTGTACTCATCAATAAAGTCCATGCGTTTGAGCTCAACATTTTTTGCCTGTATGAATAGATGGGATAATAGTAAATCTATAATTGTAATGATTTGAAATGGATTTTATGTCATTTAGCTATCAGTCCAAACTTTCTATTGATGTTCTTCAAATCCTTCTTTGCGTTTTCACAAGTTCCTAGAGTTTGTTTGCTGCAAATCTTGAAATTTTTACGAGCTTGTGCAATAAATAATCCAAATGGAACCCTTATCGTTATTATTTGTTGTTATTTTTTATTCTTTTGGGTAACATAACCTTATTTTAGTACCATATTCTTCTTTCTCATTTGAAGCTCCAATCCAATCTGTAGCGCTTCTCTCATGATCTCCTCAATGGGCTCGTAATTTATTGTTTCAATAGCTGGTTGAATAATACGGAGTAAGCATAAGATCTGACTTGCTTTTCATCGTTAACTTTTTGTTTTTGGGCCTTTGCCTTGAAGGGTCATTGGAGATTTCCTGGTGGGAAGGAGATGCAAGGTTATGCCTATATCCTGACTCACCCTGGAACCCCGTCAGTCTTCTTTGATCACATTTTCTCTGGTTATCGATCTGAAATAGGAACTCTTATGTCACTCAGAAGGCGGAATAAGATCAACTGTCGGAGTATGGTAAGTCTCAAAAACCATGTTGACTGATGCAGGTTCTTTTGACCTCTGAGGTTAAATTTCAGCCTAATCTGAAAAGTTATGGTTGATCGATTTTGAATGAATAGGAAGGAGAGAAGAGAATAACAAACATTCTATATTTCTTCAGTTAACATATGGCCTCTCCATTTCCTTATTTTTCTGTTCTGACAAATCAACATGAAGCCAACTCTTTTTTAGAATTGCCTAGTGATGATACAGTGAAAAGGACCTCTAGAAAGAACTAACAAATAAATATTACATGCTTGCAATACATGAACCTTGGCTGTTCAATCTTGGGAAGTATCAGGTGATAAGATCATTGTAAGGTGAAGCATTATATTTCTAGAAAAAAGTATGTCGGCATGGTATTTTGTATGAATTCAACACATATATTCAAATTGTCAACAACAGTGGAACTGGTATTTGCTAGTCAGCTGCAATAATTTCCGTTTCTAACCCTGGTATAGTTATGAAGGTGGGGATTAGGTTTTTTTTATGCTGAGGTGTTTTATAGTTAGTAATTCAAATCCTTAAAATACTCCGAAACAAGCTTTGTTATTTTAAAATTCTGTTCTTATGGGCCTTATCAAGATATCTTTTCGTAATGTGGATGCAAAATCAATCCTATTCCCAACATGCTAAGCCTTCTGTCTGAATCAGGTGAAAATAACAAAGGCCGAAAGGGATGTTTATGCAGCAGTTATTGATGATAAGCTGACCGTTAAAATAGGACCAGGCCACTATGAGCCTCCGAGTGGGGATCAGAGATGGTCGTTGGCTGCTGAGGGTAACAATTACAAGGTTTGGGAATCTTCATAAGAAGAATCACTCTCTTACGCTGTATCAAAGGACTAGAAACTATTCGGACATGTTTGAGGTTAATGTTGCTCCAATTTATCTGCCAAAGGAGTGGAGATGGGAGGAGCTCATGTCATCAAAATGTTGTACTGCAGCGGTTTATTAGTTTTGCTGCATCTTAAGCCTGATATGGGTAGTAATCTAAGAAGTTGGAGTAAAAAATAGTTCTAAAAATACGAAGAGCAAGAGTTGTAATTAATATTATTAGATCTCGTGAAATCACGGACACTGTATACAGTCTGGTAAAAAATGTATATGATAGATACCATTACATTGTATTGCCTTCTTAGAAGATAGAGGCATTGTAGATGTAAGGAATTCTGTACAACTAGTAGCCATATTGGCATCAGGACAACATTATTTGTGTATAAATATTGGAATATGCCTATTGATATATTGTATTTCTTTTGCTGAATCAAGCATGCGTTGCACAGAATAGTAGTTTTCTTTTCAATTTCAACCGAGTTTAATTTTATATACATTAACAGCAAATTACCCACACTTGAATACATACATCCATTTCAGATGTCATCATTAAGTTTTGTTTTTCCTTCTTGAGTCGAAATAACCACGAAGAGTAAGAGTTATTTATGTGAAAATAATGGTCTCTTCTTGAGTATCTTTAGATGATCATAAATTGGCAGTCGTACTGATTTTGAATGAGAAAAGGGATGTTGGGACTAATTAAGTGTTAAATTGGCATTTAAAGTCGTATTATATTCACCATGGCGATGAAGAAAAAAAGAAGGGCAGTTTGGTACATAAAGTATTTTGCATTCACGCAAGGTCCGAGAAAGAACAACACCCTAAGAGGTGTGATGTAACCCGGCTATAACTTTACCATTATGGTGATGAAGAAGAATTTAGAAAAAAGACTTTAATATATATAGTTTACTTCCTTTCTTTTTTTGGCAACCGAGAAATGTCGTCTTTCGAATGAGAAATATATTAGTTCCATCTCCTCAATTAGGGAAGTTCAGAAAAAATGTTTAGAAAAGAACCGGGAAAGTTATCCCCAAGTACAAAATTGTTTTTTGCAATCAAGAAATCAAAAACCAAAAAGCTCATTCCGGCCATGTGTTTTGGGTATTCCGCATTCTGCTAGCATCTTTTTTAAGTATGGGATAATATCCACTTTTAACCCGCTCCCCTAACCAGTTTTGACCCGTCCAACTAATTTCTCTGTTAGGATATATACTCCCTCAGTTCCAATTTATGTGAACTACGGAATATTTTTTTTTGTCCGTTCCAAAAAGAATGACTCATTTCTAAATTTGGTAACAATTTAGCTTAAACTTACAATTCTACCATTAATGAGAAGCTTTTATAATCACACAATACTCTGGACCCCTTTTTGACATGTTTAGGACCACAAATTCCAAAAGTCTTCATGTTTTCTTAAACTCCGTGCCAGTCAAACAGTTTCACATAAATTGGAACGGAGGGAGTAATTAATAATCCGACCAATCTCTCTCACAAATCCTTTATTCGGTAGTCAATATTGATGGAGGCTCGCCTCTGGTATTTAATGTGATAAGAATGTGCCACCAAAACTTAAAAGTAAATTCTACAAAACGGTGGTCACACCGTCTATGCTGTATGGGATCGAGTGTTGGTCAATCAAGAACTTCCACATCCAAAAAATGAAGGTAGCAAAAATGAGGATCTTAAAATAGATGTGCGGGTATACCTAGTTGGATAAAATTAGGAATGAAGTTATTCGAGAAAAGCTGGGCGTAGCACCTGTGGAAGACAAGATGCGGGAAACGAGATTTAGATGGTTCGGCATGTAAAGAGGAGAGACACTGATGTCCTAATGAGGAGGTGTGAGAGGTTGACCTTGGAGGATCCAAGGAGAGGTAGGGGTATGCCGAAAAATTATTGAGGTGAGGTGATTAGACAAGAGATGACGATGTTTCAGCTTACCGAGAATATGATCCTTGATAGGAAGGTGTGGAAGTCGAGATTTCGCGTAGAAGGTTAGGTGGCCGACTGTTTTTTATTTACCTTGTTCATACCAGTGGCATTAGTGTGCTACATAGTGTTAGTCGTCTTTTCTTATTCTTATATTTCTGTTATCACTTGTTGTTTCGTTCACTTCGATTTTCTGATTGGCTTGCTGGTGTTATTACTTGTTACTCATTTCTTCTTATTTTTCCTGAGCCGAAGGTCTATCAGAAATAACATCTCTATCTTTTTTAAAGTAGGGGTAAAGCCTACATATACACTACCCTTCTCAGACCCTACTTATGAGATTACACTGGGTATGTTGTTGTAATATTAATGAAGAGAGTATATAACATTTGTAAAGCTTGTCTAAGAATATTTATTTAATGTAATTTGAAATTTCTTTTATTGTTCTGTTAAAAAAATTGGCAAGCATTATAGAGCTAGACTTTCGTTTGAATTGTGGCTTCTTGATCATATTTAACAGGCACAAGTAGACATATATAGCCGATACGGCTACACCAACAGCCATTAATTTGAACTATAAATATAGTTAGGGATTTTATCCTAGACTAGATCCGCTTTTTATGTTTCCTTGTTTCAACATCCCTTGACTTGTGTTTTCCACACAAAAAATAGAAAAAGAAAACATTCAAAAGTTAGTTAGGAAAACTATAACTGTCAACCTCAAATTAGTATTTGGTCATCCGTTGTTCCCGCTAAAAATATGTCCCTATCTTTTCCTATGTTAGTGGTATATATGTGTTTACTATTATTGTATTCCCAAGCTTTGGGAACTCATCTGCATTACAAATATCAACTACTACCAAAACTTGGGATTTCCCAAGCTGCAGGTGGTAGCAGAAATTAACTAACAAAAAAGTTATTCTGCTACCATAATAAAAACAAAAGAAATATTAAAAAAAACAATGGCCTCATTTAGTTGTAATTCAGTTATTTTTCTCTACTCCCTTTTATGTATTGCTTCTTTAATCCCAAACTTGCATGCCAATATTGCTGAATTTGACCCTTATTTGGAAAAGAAAGCTGAAGAAGCCCTCAAATCCTCTCTTGCTGCTTATAATGAAAATCCTGAGGAACTCACTGATACTTTCAACAAAGAAGTTGGAGAGTAAGTATTTTTTTTTGTTTGAACAAATGGTTTCTTTGTCTAAGGGTCTCTTGGTTTGTGGGTTGACCAAAAGCTTTTTAGGCACGGGTCCGTGGAAGGACCGGGGAAGGCGATCATTACCCTTATCGTTAGCAAATCGTCTAGTATCTTTCCTTATGAAGCTCCAATAAAGTATAACTGAGGTAATTTTAACCCATAATGAAACGTACATGGGTGAATTTAGACCTTTTCCCCTCGAGTATTTTGACATATGGAATCCACTTAGACCACGTTGGAGTTCCAATAAAAGCAAGGGCAAATATGAGATGATTTGCTAACGACAAAGGTATGAATAGCCCCAGGCTGGAAGTATAATGGAGGGTAAAATTAAGATATTTTGCATAATAGAGTGGTAAAATTTGGACATCTTCCCTTTTTTTAATTGACATTAGTTATTGTCAAACATTGCAGAACAATTTTTAATGGCACAAGGAGGCATCTGAAGGAAGAAGATAAAGATGATAAGGATGACAATGATGGTTGCAAGGCATACAATCCAATTGACAAATGTTGGAGGTGTGACAAAAACTGGGCTAATAACAGGAAGGCATTAGCAGATTGTGCTAGGGGATTTGGCCATGGCACAACTGGTGGTAAAGACGGTAAGTTCTACGTTGTCACCGATCCCTCGGATGATAACGTGGAAGAGCCAAAGCCAGGAACCCTTCGCCACGCTGTCATCCAAGAAGAGCCGTTGTGGATTATCTTCGAGAAGTCGATGATAATCAAGTTGCAGCAAGAACTGATGATCAACAATGATAAGACAATTGATGGCAGGGGAGTTTCTGTTCATGTTGCATATGGAGCAGGACTAACCATACAATTTGTGCACAATGTGATTGTCCACAACATTAGAGTTCATCACATCCTTTCTACCTCAGGTGGTATGATCAGAGATTCTATTGACCATATTGGTCTTAGGACAGTGAGTGATGGTGATGCTATTTCCATCTTTGGTGCCAACCGTATCTGGATCGATCATTGTACTTTAACTAAGGGTGCTGATGGCCTCATTGATGCAATCATGGCTTCCACTGCTATCACCATTTCTAACTGCAAATTCAATCATCATAACGACGTAAGTTTTTCTCCTCTCCTATTCTTAGCAGGCACATTTCAACTGTGTTCAATAAGTCAGATTCTTAGATAAGATGTCTAAATGAAAAAAAATTGACAAGTTTAGGGGGTTGTCGTCTGTCGATTTGTATTTGGCCTAATGACAACAAATGATGATTCAGGTGATGCTTTTGGGAGCAAATGATGCCTTTCCTCAAGATAAAATCATGCAAGTTACAGTTGCATTCAATCGGTTCGGAAAGGGATGTATTCAGAGGATGCCAAGGTGCAGATGGGGATTCTTCCATGTTGTCAACAATGACTATGCAAAATGGGAAATGTATGCAATTGGTGGCACTGCTAATCCCACCATTATTAGCCAGGGTAACCGCTTCAAGGCTTCCAACAATCCAAACACTAAAGAGGTATGCATAACATTCTAATCACTTTTTTTTATAACAATAGTGGTGTCTGTCGGTGATTTCACCGAGTATCTGCTACCTCCAATCAGTACATATACCAGATAGTACCTGCTTACCAAGGCTTAAGCATATGCGAATAAATCAAACTAACATTTCTTGTCCAATCACATATTGATATGTCCTCTTAGATTGTCCAATCACATATGTGACCAGGAAGTCACGGTTCGAGCCGTGGAAATAACCTCTTGCAGAAATGCAGAGTAAGGCTGCATACAATAGACCCTTGTGATTCGGCCTTTCCCGGACCCCGCGCATAGCGGGAGCTTAGTGCATCGGGTTGCCCTGCCTTTAGAATGTAGCATAAGGCTAACATAAACAGTTTTTCAGTTTAAACAGTAGAGAGTTATCATTCCCTTTTGTGGCATATTGCATGTGAAATTGCTAACATAAAGTATGCTAAATGAAGGTGACAAACCGGAATGGCGCCCCAGAATCTCTGTGGAGAAACTGGCAATGGAGATCTGAGGGGGATTTGTTCTTGAACGGAGCCTACTTTAGGGAGTCCGGACCAGATATCAAGCATACTCCATTCACAGAACACACCAGCATCAAGTTTGAGCCTGCTAAATTTGTCGGCAGACTCACTCGCAAAGCTGGTGTAATCAAGTGCAAGATTGGAAAAGCATGCTAGCCAATGTTCTATATTTATGTACATAATACTAATATATAAACCATATGTACATTTCACTTTTTTGGGGTTGACATGGAGCCGAAGATTTTTTTGGGGTTCTTTTACAGTAAGAGAAGAAAGAAATGGCTGAGACATCTATCTGTTGTCTCGTTGTTTTCTCAGTTTTTTTCTACGGGTTTTTCTTTTTTGCTTTTTCCTGGCTGGTTTGCTCTATAGGGAAAAACAGTTAGGAGAGGGAGAAAAGGAAAAAAAGTGGGTTCTGGTGAGAGATCAAGTTTATTTTTTGTAACAGAAAGTTTTGATTTATGATTTCTAATAAATGTAAATTTCCCTGTTTGAATTTCAATATAGGCTACATGTGTCCCCAAGAGTGAAATTTATTGTATCAACCCCTATTCTTTTACGTAGTAATAAAGGCATAATGCTGATATATTTGTACTTTGTTTAAGAAAATATGGATTTCAAGAACAGATATATGCAGCACAACCTATCAAATACGACTCGTACGTGTTCTCATGCAAAAATCAACCATGTTATTTGTCACAGCTTTATATGCAAATTTTACATATCCTTAGAGCGAATTGATCCAATGTTTTCAATCGAACAAACATTTAAAACGGAGAACTATCAGAAAAGAAACAGAATATTGGATTAATTGATATATGTGAACAAAGTCAGACATAAGGAATTTCCTTACAAAGAACTATCTTCTTTTGGAGTTGTTTTTATGAAGACATGTCCGAGCATTGTGCCCTTTCCCTAAGCACACACTGCAGCTATAAGTTCTCTTTGCCCGAGTAGCAGAACTATTGATTGTAGCAACAACTTTAGTCTCATTCTTCTTTTGGTTGCATGTCCTTCTATTATGGCCAGTTCTTCGACACTTGCTGCAATGATGGTTAATCTTGACCATCTTCTTCGGTACAATTAAGCTTGACTTTAAGCAGGTTCTTCTGTTATGACCCTTTGCTCCACATAGTCGACATCTATAACGTCTATCTGTATTGTCTCGAATTTCTGGACAGTAGTTGCTCCTATGCCCTTCCTGTCCACAATTTCTACAGTAAAATTTCAC